TCAGTGCTGGATACACTGTTTCTTCAAGGTATTTTGCAGGATTTACTGAACAACTTCTCTAAAAAGATGTTTTGATAGGAGATCTCAAAATGCATGATGTATTTAGGAAGAAAAAAACGTGCTTTTGAACAGGAATTAGAGGATGCTTGTTCTACTTACTTGTATTTATTTCAGATTGGCATCTGAGCTGTGATTTTGTTGTGTGCTTGTGCTTACAAACTAAACCTTTGCCTGCCCTCAGACCTTATTTGTCATTTGGAGCATAAAAAAATCCTTGCAAATTATGCACAAGTATTTTTGAGATAGTAGCTTTCTAGCTTTATGATATAAAAATAAGACTACAGTATGTGGCATAGCGTTGTCTTCAGACTCCAGTAAAAATAATTTTCTGTGGTGTGATCCTTTGCTAACTTTGTAGGCTGCTTTTTTGAACTGGGAATGAAGTGGTATGATACTGGCGTTTAGTGCCAGTGGGCATGCTGGAGTTCAGGCATTTGCATGCACAGCAACCCCACCGTGATATTTAGGAGATGCTGTTATTTTGATATTGACTTGGAAGACATGTTATCTGCTGAGAATCCAGACCTGGTTGTAATGAAAGGCAAAGCTGATGAGGAAATGTCCCAAAGAGGTAGTGAAAACCAAGAAGCATTTCCTGTGCAAACCTGCCAGATGCCTACAGTATGGAAAAGCTGGTATGGTTGTTTATTTCGGTCTGTTTTCTTTTCCAGGTTGATCAGGAGTGTGGTAAAATGGTAGAGGGAGTTGAGTTTTTCTGCACTTCTGTATCACAGAGACGGAGTTTGGGAGGTAAAGCAACAAAACTCTTTGGATTATGTCTTCTTAGTAATGGTAGCTAATGAAGTAATGTTATGGGAAAGCTTAGGAAAAAAAATTTAAAAAAAAATTAAAAACAAACAAAAAAAAAAAACCCAAACAAACAAAAAAACAAACCTGCTATTAGAGGTACCTGACCTTGGTAGGAGATCAACAGCTGCTGCACAGCAGTGTGCCCAGAACGTGTGTTGTTGTGGGACTAGAGGTACACGGGGGTTACTCTGTCATTGTGTCAGGTTAGCTCAGTCAGACACTTGAAATATACTTGACTTCTGAAAACCTTATTTGGATTTTTTCCTTCTGTGACACCCTCTGTTTCAAAGAATATCTACTATCAGTTTGTGCATCCCTTGACTCTTCTGTAGAAGCAAGTGGCTGCTCTGTCCTGTCACCCCTTTTTGTCAGCCGTGAAGACCCTTGCCTTACCCTCTCACCCCTGCCAGTTTCTGGAACTATTTCCTCTTTTGGTCTCGTCCTGAAATTATCCCTGGGTCAGATTTTGTCATCGTCCTAGAGCCTTTTGCCCTTAGTTCCACAGAGTTCTGCTCACAGCTCCCTCTGTTCTTTCCTTTTTAAAATTCTGGGGTTTGTTATTATTTCGTTTGTTTCTGTGGCCACCTTTCCCATCTCTGTCCTTTTTTCAGGTCCAGCTTCATGCTTCCTGAGTTTTTATAATCCTCTTCACCAATCCATCTTTTTGAAAGATTTGTCTTTTCTTCAAATTACTTTCTTCCAAACCTGTGTAAACATTTTCTTGTAAGACCTCAACACTGTTGCCATGCAGTCACTCTCACCATCTTCAATGTAAAACAATAAAGTTGAAATTCTTGCTCTCCACAGTAAACTTCTTGATGAAGGGATTCATTTTTGTTGGCTCGTACAGCGAGGAGCAGAATGTTGGCACTTAGGGAGCAACGTGCAGGCTCTGCAGCTAGCCTGTGAAATCGATTGCATAGCAACCTCGGGGGTGTTGTGGTGTTTGGTGGAGAGAAGCAGCTGATGACTCATTTCAGCAGATGTCAGTAAAAAGTCAGAGCCGACTCACCTGCTTAAAGCTACACAGACCAAAATCGGTGAGTTAAGGGTATAACTTGAGGCAAAGTGTTTGGTGAGGATCAGTTGTTCACTTAAGGGATTTACTGAAATGTCTTAAAGCAAACATTTACATTTGTTTTTGTAAATTCCATCTATGTAGTTGCAGGTTTTCAGCCAAAATTAGTTTCAAAGCTGTCAGAAAAGATAAACTAAGTAGATGACCTTTAATTTAAGTGGTGGCTCTAGTTATATTCTCCCTCCCCACTCACAAGAAGAGTAGCCC